AGAGAGAGAGAGAGAGAGAGAGAGAGAGAGAGAGAGAGAGAGAGAGAACAACTTGTAGCCATCAATTATCTCCTTCTGCCTTGGAGGGTCCAGTTATTAAACTCGGGTCACCTTTACTGCTTGAGCAATCTTGCTTGCCCAAGGTTTCCTTTTACAGGCAAGTTGGATTTATTATTCATTCTAGTTATGGTAAGCTGGCAAAGAAAGACTGAGTTCACAGAGAGAAAAGACTCCCTTTCCCCCAGTGGACCCTGGGGTTAGAAGTTAGCAAGCTTTGGGAAGATGATCTGCTGGTAATTTGAATGAACGGTGCCCTGTTGCTGTGCTGAAAATGTTTTCTACTGACGGCCAGCTATGACCGCTCTGCTCTGAAGTCACGGATCCGAGCTCCGACGGACAGACTGTAGCTGCTTGCGGCATCCTCGGCTAGACAGCTGGTCTCCATCTCGCCTCTTTGCCCGCTGGGAGGCAGATGGTGAGCTGGGAGGGAGACGAGGCTGGGCTCCCAGCCCTGGGAAAACATATCATCATAGTTGGAATGACTATTTCTGACTTCATTTGTGTGAAAGAATACTTCTTCTCCTGGTTGAAACCCAATGATTTTACACCACCCTGGTGAGCCAGTTCCAATCCTAACTCACATGGAGGTACTGACACTGGTGGGCAGAAGTGGTAAGGAAGCTATTGGACCTTTTACAAACACTGTTAGTCAGAACATTTTTAAAAGGATAGATTTTTTTAAATATTTGATTATGTTTATTTGTTTTAAATGTGCATGTGTGTGTGTGTGTGTGTGTGTGTGTGTGTGTGTGTGTGTGTATTGTCACATGGACTGGTCAGAGGACAGCTAGTGGGACTTGGTTCTCTCCTTCCACCCTGTAGGACACGACTGGAACTTAGCCTTAGCACTAAGTGCCTGCACTCACGGGGCCAGCTCTCTGGGCCAAATATAGGCTTTTTCATCACATCAACCTCAGCCCAGTGCTCTAGGAAAACCACATTCACACACCTCTGGGTGAAGCCTGAATGAGATAATCTGAAACACAATGTAAATTCAGTATTCTTAATTCACTTCTGTTCATTTAGTGTTTGAGAGGAAATTTGGACAAATCACTCAACAAGGCAAATGATTAACCACTTGCCAGCTGCAGAAACCCACATCTTCAATGACCCTGGTTCAATAAAATTACATTTGTATCTGAATATCTGAATTAATTTCTCAGTAGTACTGTTCATCTTGACGTGTCTTTTATACTTGTGTGAAATTAAAAATCTACTGAAGAGGAAAAGTATTCAATGAACCAATATGGACATTAAAAAAAATAATGTCTTATTCTTTTGCCCTGAGAAAGTCCAACAAGTCATTTTAGCAGGTTAAGAACATGAAGAACTAATCAAACGTTAGGCTTAGGGAGAGGCTAGGGAACCCTGGGGAAGAAGGGTAGGAAGGATTGTAGGAGTCAGAGGGGTCGCTAAGCAGAGGTCACAGGGGCTCACTGAGATTGAAGGGGTAATCATGGAGCCCACACGGGTCTGTGCTAGGTCCTCTGCATGGATTTTATGGTTGTGTAGCTTGGAGTTTCTGTGGGACTCCTAACAGTGGGAAGTTAGGTGTCTCTGACTCTTTTGCCTGCTCC